GAAACAGAGGGAAAGAGATTGCATGTAAAAAATTATTTATTTTGGGATTGATTTGGAATTGTTACATATTTAAGTACACACATACGATTCAAGGTTCTTCTTCGGAAATCCCGAGTTGTTGGTAATTAACATAATCGATTTCGTTTAAACGTATACAACACAAAACCTGCTCCGGCAGCTCTTCCGCTTTGTTACCCTGTCAAAAAAAATATATATATATATATATATATATATATATATATATATATATATAGTACAAACATATTAATATTAACAACTCCAAAGCAGAAAATCGGAATCTTTTAATCACTCAAAAAACAAAAAAAAAAAAAAACTAAACTTACCTGAATTGTTAACCCAAAATCCAATATACACAACTTTAACCGATCAAGAAACGTCTCAAATCCCTTTCTTGAAATGTAGCTGAATCTATGCATATCCAAATCAATCTCGAAATAATTTTCACCCTGGCAAAAAAAAAAAAAACCCTCTTGAGAATCAAATATTATTAATCTTTAAAACACAAATCAAATTCGAAAGTGGCTAAAAAAAATTACCGAGTAGAATTGATGTTGAGGGCGAGAAAGAACGGGTTTTTCATTGTAAGCATGCATTAGTTTCCTCTCTGCAGAACTCATAGGAAGGTCATCCACATTTGCCACGCGCCCGAGTATTTTTAATCTTTCTCTAAAGGGTACGACCGTTTCTGCACGAAAACCCCCTTTCATTTTTTCTACTTCGTCGTCAATTAGCTTCTGTAGTTGCAAAAAAATATATATATGTTATGTTATATATAACATATAAAAAATGAAAATAATAAAAAATTAGGGGTGACGTTGAACTCGATTCACTCACTCTAATACTTTCTTGAAAATGAGGTGGAAGATCCCTTGCAAAGTTTTCGGAAAGTTTAAAATACAAAACGAAACTTATTCCTTCTCCGTCGGTTTCGCCTTGAAAAATTGCTGCAGGATATAATGGTATCTGCAAAAACAGAAAAATTAAATTATTTTATAAAAGGGAAATTAATAATTTGGAACAAACGAAACATAGCAATTGTTCATTACCTGAACATTTACCACGAGAATAGGCGGCAATTTCCCAGATAAATTAACCGGCGGAAGCTCCACAAATCGAGCAATGTGATTAATTTTTCTCTGAGATAAAAACACGTCAAGCCCAAACGGGTAATACGCAGCACAATTCGGAGCAAGCTCCTTCTTTTTATCCCTGCGAAAAAACCGAGCACAACCAAATTACAAAATAGAAAAAAAAATCTCGAAATATTCGAGTGATGATAAATATATACCTCAAATAAGTAACTCCCCGAACCCTAAAAGTCCCGGGCTCAACATCCGACCAACTATCCGGAACCCTCTTCCCCAAGGGACAAAACGGTACTTGCGAACCCGCTATTGGTCTTTGCAGCAAATCCTTCGAAGAAACTGCAACAAAATCAAGATTAGTTACATAATTAATAATGATTAATAATCATCGAAGATTATTATTTTATTTAATCGGCTACTCACACAAAGCGGCCGTGGGGTGACCTTCTTTCCACTTAAACGAAAGTTTTAGGGCAGCCTTTTTTCTCGCACTAGTAGGGCTCGAAATTAAGGTTCGTCTCTTTTCGACATTATTAACAGTTGAAGCTAAACACGGCAAACAATTACTCGGAATAATCCCACAATTATCCAATAAACCTTCGTCACCGCCACTAGTTTCTCCAGCTGAGCTGGATACTTTATCCACTAATACAGGCTTTAATCCAATAACCGGTTCATCGGTTTTAGCTGCTCCGCTTATCGAATTCCGCGCAGAATTCGCAACGCACGAGTCATCGGAATGTTCTAGAGAGAGCAATTCTGTGTGAATCAACTTATTTTTCAGCAAGATTTGATTTTTATTTACAATCATCAAAAATAAAAATTGAAACTTTAGTTAAAGATTGAATTTTTAATGTATATATATATTACCGTCGGGAATACTTTGGAAATCTTCGTCGCTCCAGTCGGAATCTAATACGGCTGCAGAATCGAACCATGCTTCGTCGGCACTACCTGCTGTTGCAAGAAGATAGATTCAATAACCGAATAACCGAAAAAAATCGAGATTTGTTCCGAATTATTCGTCTGGGTTGATTTAAAATGGGATATGCAACTAATCATCTATCACAAATTAAATCTTTAAATTAGTTCTTCATTAACTAATTATACAGCTAATGAATACAAAAAAATTAAAAATTAAAAATTAAAAATAAATCAACACTTGGTACATTCAACACTATCACAGAAGTAGATCAAGATTCAATTACACCACCATTATTCAACACATGAGAGAGAGAGAGAGAGAGAGAGAGAGAGAGAGAGAGAGAGAGAGAGAGAGAGAGAGAGAGAGAGAGAGAGAGAGAGAGAGAGAGAGAGAGAGAGAGAGAGAGAGAGAGAGAGAGGTGAACCGTGAAAAGCGGGATTATGGAAGGAGCGATCGCCGGGCAAAGACGGCAGCTTTTCGACGAAATCCGATGATCGATCCGACAAAGAAGAAGGGTCCCTCTTCCTCCAACCCCTCCTTCGTCTTCTTCCACCGCCATTCTTCTTCCTCCTAGAACCCTTACCTCCGACGCAATTCTCCGGCCGGGAAACGCAACCCCCCATTTCAAATCCGAGCCAGAATTAAAATAATTACAATATTTGGGAGAAAAATGAAAAAATAAAAACAAAGGCTAGCGTAGCGTGTGTATTCAGATTCGAGACATCCAAAATAAATAAATTAAATTAAAAAAGATCGCCTAATAATCATTGTATATTATTATGTATATATATCTCTCTCTCTCTCGTATAATATGAACCACAATAGAAGTCTAGAGAGAGAAGGAACTCCATTCTAGATAGAGAAAGCGTGAAAAGTAGGAGAACCCCATCAGCATCAAATAACCCCCCACCCCTCTTCTTTTCTCTCTCTCTCTCTGTAATAAATGATTTTCTTTTTATTTTTTCTTGCTGTAATTAATCACCTCCCACTGTATAGAGATTCACAAAACAAAAACAAAAACTGCGTGTATTATGTGTGTGTGTTTTTTCGAGTGGAAATAGTAAAATACGTGATTTTCAGAGCTCCAGCCAAAAAGAAAAGTCAAATTCGAGGAATTCTTTATTTATTTATTTATTTTTATTTTTTTGAACGCGGAATAGAATAGAAGAGGATTTGGGAAGATGGAAATATCAGTGGCGGCAGTTGGGTGCGTGGGCCCTACTTGGACACGTGGCGAAAATCCGAATGGTCAAACGTGTGGGGAGTGGGGGTTTTTCACTTTTCAGCGCGTGTGTGCGTTTCTTTTTTTAACGTTTTGCTGACTTTGCTCGTTCGTCACCAATATCCAACACTACTTTTCGATAAGTTTTTTTTTTACAGCTTATTTTACTGTCACAAGATTAAATCTTGGATAAAATTAAGGTCAGCCCCTTGAGTAAAGTTAATTTATGAAAAAGTCTTACATGTTTGTTTAATTATATTCACCTCCCCAATTGTTAATCTTCTTACACTTTTGTTTAACTCTACATTTTGAAACAAGATGATCATAAGATTTGTGTCTATTCATTTGTAAATATCATCAGATTGTGGTTCATTAGAAAATTCTGTTGAATTCGACACTATAAGAGTGTCAAATTCATAGTTAAGGAAGGTGGTACTAATTACTCAAAAAAAGAGGAATTTTCGTAATTTGACATTATTTTAGGGGTGGCCGTAATTTACCCGTAATTTTTTTAAATATGAGGAATTTATTTTCTTCTCTTAAAATCAAATTATCTAATGTGTTATCAAATCTATTTTTTTCACTTTGAAAAGCTATTACAAAAACCAGATTAATAGACTATATTATTGCAAATAGTTACTTAACTATT